CAATAAACTCAAAACAGTCACTGTAGATCAAACTTTTTCCCGCTGTTCACAGCTTTCCCGTCTCTGACGTGGCACTCTTCCCACTGATTACAGCTTCTTTCAGACACGATCAACAATCAAAGATCAGCTCCAGTCCCAGGCACAAGCACACAAGCTCCAGGCTCTCTCTCCCCTGTAGCGTCCACCTGGCCCGCTTAAATACGCTCTCCCAACGCCAATCACTGAAATCACAGACAGGTGTTTATCATTTGAACTTGACCCGCTTACTTCCCGCTCGGCTCCTCCCCCGCTCTCCCGCTGCAGACAGCGCTGAACCACGCCCCCCACACCACAAACACTGTCAATCAAACCCCTTACTCAATTCTACGTCACAAAGAGCTGAATCTTAGAACAGCTCGTTCTGAGACAGTGTGTTACAATGGAGGCTCCCGCTCCGTCTCCTCTCCGCCACCAGAGGGAGCCTTCACCAGAGTATTGACCATTGGCTTTGAACTCAAATTCCCATCATACCTCTTACCTGGGACTGATTGCGTCACACACCTGCACCGCATTAGCACACACACATAAAAGCCACTTCCACACACCACACCAGTGCGAAGTCTTGATTTGCCCCGGTGATCATTTCTGAGCGTTTATACCCCTGATTCTGATTCTCTGGTTTTGGACTTTGGACTGTTTGACTCCCTCTCGACCCCTCATGAGCCCATGCAGTTGGGTTTCACACCCATTTCTCCAGAGGAACGAGAACGCAGATATCAGAACCGATTGTGCATGTACTGCGGCCAACCTGGACACATGAAGCTCTCCTGTCCCGTACGACCATCCTCTCATAATTCTCCGGTGAGTTCGCCAGCTAGAAAGGGAAAGTCATCTAATAACCTCTCTGTTCCAGTCCGATTAACCATTCAGGAACAAGTGTTTGATACTATGGCCTTTATTGACTCTGGAGCCGCTGGAAATTTCATGTCTAAATCATTCGCCGAACAGTGTAACGTCAAATTGAACCCATGTCATTCTCTTCTAACAGTGGAAGCGCTAGATGGAGACCCCATCGGAGAGGGAAAGATCCAATGTGTCACTGCAGACATTAGGATGGACATAGGATCTTTGCATTCTGAAAACATCCAATTCTACGTCATTCATGCTCCTCTTCACTCTATCATTCTGGGATATCCATGGCTCCGGACTCATAACCCTCATATTTCTTGGAGAGAAGGTGAGATTATTCGCTGGGACGAAACCTGCCAGAACCGATGTTTAACCAAGGTCACCAGAATAATCCAGTCCATTTCAGCATCCTGCACGAAAATACCCGAACTCGAATTATTACCCTCCAACTATGCAGATCTCATCGAGGCATTCAGTAAAGAAAAGGCTTCGCAACTTCCTGAACATCGTCCCACTGACTGTGCCATAGATTTGATTCCCGGTGCCACTCCCCCAAAAGGGAGAATTTTCCCGTTATCCAGACCTGAATCCGAAGCCATGAAACAATACATCGAGGAAGAACTCGCTAAGGGGTTCATTCGACCATCAACCTCACCTGCCGCAGCCGGGTTCTTCTTCGTAAAGAAGAAAGATGGAGGACTCAGACCCTGCATTGATTATCGAGGATTAAATGATATAACAGTCAAATACCGCTATCCACTGCCTCTTGTACCTGCAGCATTAGAACAGCTTCGACAAGCCAAATATTATACCAAGCTCGATCTACGCAACGCTTACAACCTGATTCACATCCGTGAAGGGGATGAATGGAAAACTGCTTTCTCCACCACTAGTGGGCACTATGAGTATTTGGTTATGCCTTTCGGCTTGTCCAACAGTCCTTCAGTCTTCCAGGCATTCATGAATGATATTTTCCGAGATATGCTGGACAGATGGGTGATCGTTTACATTGATGACATCCTAATCTATTCCAATTCACTTGAAGAACACGTCCAACATGTCAGATCGGTCCTGCAACGATTAATTCAATTTCATCTGTACGCCAAAATGGAAAAGTGTGAGTTTCATCAAACTAGCATCTCCTTCCTGGGATATGTTATCAGTCAGGATGGGGTCGCGATGGACGAGAAGAAGGTGAGAGGAGTAGTGGATTGGCCAGTACCACAAACAGTGAAGGAACTACAAAGATTCTTGGGCTTTGCAAACTTCTACAGAAGATTCATCAGAAACTTCAGTTTAATCACCGCCCCTCTAACCGCCCTAACCAAACGACACACGTCTCGCATTCCATGGAACACCGAAGCACAACAGGCCTTTCAAGAACTCAAGAAACGTTTCACTACTGCACCCATTCTGCGCCATCCGGATCCCGAACGCCAGTTCATTGTCGAAGTGGACGCTTCAAACACAGGGGTGGGGGCCATCCTCTCACAACGTCAAGGGAATCCAGCCAAGATGTTTCCGTGTGCCTTCTTTTCCCGTAAACTCTCCCCAGCGGAACGCAACTATGATGTGGGCAACCGTGAACTACTAGCTATGAAGTTAGCATTGGAAGAATGGCGTCACTGGCTGGAAGGGGCAATCGAACCATTCATTGTACTCACCGACCATAAAAATCTGGAATATCTACGATCAGCCAAACGCCTCAATCCCCGCCAAGCCAGATGGGCTCTCTTCTTCACTAGATTCAACTTTACTGTCACTTACCGTCCCGGATCCAAGAATATAAAAGCTGATGCTCTATCTCGGCAAACTGAAGAGACGAACTCAAGTCCCAATCCAGAAAGAGTACTTGGTGAGAAATTGCTACTGGCTCCTGTTCAATGGGATGTCATGACAGAGATCCAAAACGCCAATGTCCAGAACCCAGCACCTGTTGAATGTCCCGCCGATCTCCTCTTCGTCCCAGATGCCTTTCGACCCCGTCTTCTTGACCAAGTCCACTCCAATCCCAGCTCTGGTCACCCTGGTATCAACGCCACCATTCACCTGCTCCAGAACCGGTTTTGGTGGCCCACCCTAACCGCAGATACCATCACCCACATCCAAAACTGTACCGAGTGTCAAACTTCAAAATCACCCCGAACACTACCCTCTGGCCTTCTCTGTCCTCTACCCACACCACAACGACCTTGGTCACACATAGCCATCGATTTCATCACCGACCTCCCTAACTCCCAAGGCAACACCACCATTCTCACCATGGTAGACAGATTTTCCAAAGCATGTCGACTGGTCCCCCTAACTAAACTTCCCACAGCTCTTGAAACTGCCGAAATTCTTTGTAATCAAGTCTTCCGTTTTTATGGTTTACCAGAAGACTTCGTGTCGGACCGTGGACCACAATTCACCTCCTGAGTCTGGACTGCATTCTTCAAGAACCTCAATGTGAACATCAGTCTTACCTCCGGGTACCATCCACAATCCAACGGTCAAACCGAACGCCTCAATCAGGACATCATACGTTTCCTACGTACCTATTGTCAGCAACACCAAGAAGATTGGAGCAGATATCTATTCTGGGTCGAATATGCTCAAAACTCCCTCGTCAAACCAGCAACTGGCATAACACCATTCAAATGCATCCTCGGATTCCAACCACCTCTATTTCCCTGGTCCGGTGAACCCACAGAACTCCCATCTGTCACGGAGTGGCTTCAAAAGAGTGAAGAGGTTTGGGATCAAGCACACACTCATTTGCGGCATGCAGTACGGCGCCAAGAGCAACAGGCCAACCGTCATCGCCGTCCAGCTCCCGAATACCAGGCGGGTCAGTGGGTATGGTTGTCCACTAAGGATCTTCGACTCAGACTTCCATGTCGCAAGCTCAGTCCCAGGTATGTTGGCCCCTTCCAAATTATAAGAAAAATTTCACCTGTATCATTTCGATTAGACCTGCCCGCTAACTACCGCATATCTCCCACTTTTCATGTGTCTCTGTTGAAACCCGCTGGTGGTCCGAGGGGAGAAGCGGAGGAGGGGGCTACCTCCCGGGGCCCTCCTGCCTTTCTGGTCGACGGCGAGGAGGCGTACAAGGTGCATAAGTTGCTGGATTCCAGACGTCGGGGTAACATTCTCCAGTATCTGGTCGATTGGGAGGGGTACGGTCCGGAGGAACAGTCCTGGGTCAACTCAAGAGATATCCTGGACCCCACTCTCACGGAAGAGTTTCATAGGACGTACCCGGAGAAACCGGCCCCTCGACCCCGTGGGAGACCCCGACGACAGTTGCCTCCTCGCGTCAGGAGCCGCTCGCAGGGGGGGGGCTCTGTTACAATGGAGGCTCCCGCTCCGTCTCCTCTCCGCCACCAGAGGGAGCCTTCACCAGAGTATTGACCATTGGCTTTGAACTCAAATTCCCATCATACCTCTTACCTGGGACTGATTGCGTCACACACCTGCACCGCATTAGCACACACACATAAAAGCCACTTCCACACACCACACCAGTGCGAAGTCTTGATTTGCCCCGGTGATCATTTCTGAGCGTTTATACCCCTGATTCTGATTCTCTGGTTTTGGACTTTGGACTGTTTGACTCCCCTCTCGATTGATCTCTGCCTGGCCTGAACTCGGACTGTTTCCTGATTACGATTATTGCTGCCTGCCCTGATCTCTGCCTGTATCCTGATTATCCCGCTGTCTTGTCTGCATTGCTCTGTCTGCCCCGTCTTGATCCTGCCTGTACGACTCTGTCAAATAAAAGCTGCAAATGGATTCCTCTGTTCCTTGTGGATCATTACACAGTGCAAATGATTTATTGAGATTGTAAAAAAACACTGGAAGGATTTTTATCATTCTACAGTGGTTTTGCTCATACACTGCCAAAACACATTTATGTTCAAACACCATGTAAAAGTGAATTTTGCATAATAGGTGCCCTTTCAAATATTGTTATGTTTTTGTTTGGTACACTATTTTCTTCTTTTATTTTTAAATAAAATTTTTTACTGAAAATGATAAATGAATTCTTTACACTTGCAATAGAAACATTTGATTACAAAACTACATTTATGTATTATTTCTGCAATAACGACAACCAAATGTAGAATGTCATCTTTTTATTTCTGTATTACTAAACCTAGAAACTATATCACAAATATAAAAAAACATTAGCACAATCAAAAACAACAATACAAATGAATAAAGATATTGTGTTTCCATAGGTATCTTGACTGGTAGATGGGTCCTGTGGCGATTATTCATTGTTTCGGCAGCGATTGACCTATACAAAGAATATAATATTTATCACATTAACACATTTCAAAATCAAACACATTACTGTTAAATATTATAACGTTATATATCTAATCTATTATGGGAGAAGAGTTTTATTTGATTGTGTTTTTATCTTGGCCAGAAATGATTATTATACACAATATTTTTTTTTACTTAGTTTGCCGAAATCATGTTAAGTACTACATTTGTCTTGGATGAAAAAGTCACCCACGTGATATATGGATTGTATTATGACTCTTATATAACTACTGAAAAGGACTCTATTTTATGAAGTTACGTGGAAGGCTAGTCCACTACGGAACTCTGGCAAGAAGTATGACAGGAGACAGAAGAAAGTTCAATTATTTATCTCTTCAGGTGTGCCAGTATACATTTCCAGCATTATACAGCATTGGAATTGAGGTGGTAAACGTGTGGTTTAGTCTGAAATAAACAAACAAATATATCAGAATATGTCTGAATACAGTTAACATAAATATTCACCTCAGTATACATCATTTAAAGGGTAACTAAACACCAAAACAACTTTTTTTAGTTAATGATCTGTAAGAATGGAGCTTCATAAATGCTGTTCATTGATTCGAGTACATTTTTTGACAATTGAGTATAAAGTGTTTTAATTTTCAAAGATATGGTGTAAAAACGTCTGAGTGCTGCCCTCTTCAGGTTAAACGGAAAGCTCCTGCAGTAGGGGTACTTGCTGACGTAGCGAACTCTCAGACGCACTCTGTCACACCCTTGGTGCGAGCTCACCACGCCCTTGGCAGCCCCTGGTATAAAGCATCTGGTTCCGTCAAAACTACTGTAGCGAGTCAGGAGTTGGATTTATGAGTATTGAAAACGATCAGGATAGCATATAATAGCATCTAGTTAGCATAGCATTTATATAGTTGTTTAGATTATTTTTGAAAACGACCAGGATAGAGTATTGTTGCATCTATTTAGCATAGCATTATATAGATAATTTAGATTATTTTGAGTAGCATAGTACAGTTAGGATAGCTTCAAGTTAGCATAGATTTATCAGTGTTTAGTACAGTGATCAGGATAGTAACGGAATAGAGGTGGACATGGGCTTCTCCACACGCAGTGCCAAACACTGCTCGTCCTGCATGGACTCCTCGACCGCAGCGGCGTCTTGATGTGAGTGATCATGGATATTTTAATCACAATTTATGGTTAGGATAAAGTTAATCCTCTGGGGTCGACAAACGAGCCGGTGAATTTTGCTGTATTTTTTCATATAGCGGCATAATATCAATATGAATATATGCCAGCGTGCGCTATTGAGATCAACTCGACGACATAACTGATCAGATGCCGGTCGCGATGCGGGAGTTAAGACCGCAGTTTGAGCCAGCAGCTCGAATGGATTTGGCCCTGTGTCTACATACAATTCACCCTCATCCACTTCAGGTGAAGGTGAAGGTGAGGGAGAAAAGTCCTCGACTTCAAATGGCTGCTCTGTTGCAAAGGCAGCTACTTGAGTCACTCCAGTCTCGCTCTATTTTAGAGTCTGACAGCAGCTGTCACTCACGGCGGGTCTCAGGTGCACGCCCCCTAGCCCCGCTGGGGTCTGCCCATTTTTTCAGCATTTTTCAAATATTGCTAGTGGGTGGAGTCAGGCTCTGACCAGGGGTTTAGTTACCCTTTAAAGGAACACTCCGACTTTTTAGGACTTTAGCCTATTCACCTTACCCCCCAGAGTTAGATAAGTCCATACATACCTTTTTCATCTCCGTGCGTGCTATAAGTCTGTTTGACGCACCCACCGCTAGCCTAGCTTAGCACAAAGTCTGGATGTGAATGGTTGCACTTTCATAGTAATCCAAATGAGTGACAAAATAACGCAATTGTTTTCCTATTTACATGTTGTGATTTGTATAGTCACAGAATGTACAAATAACAAAGTCAAATGAGACACAGATATCTTTTAACCGTATACAACCTGGGAACTATTCTCTGAAGGCGAAGCACTGCTACTTTGACGGAGTAATAACCGCATCACCGGAGACACGCCGTGGTGAGGAGCGGAGAGTTCGCTCAGTGTTTGGGTAACAGAGTCAGCAATTTATAAATAGTAAAAGCGTAGTTTACAGTCATGGGTTTTCGCTCTTTTGTAAATAGCTGCGACAGTAAACAGGGGAGGTAATACCATGTTTCACAGAATTCCAACTAAAAACGCTGACTGGATGAAGAAATGGCTAACTTACTCTGGATATTGATCCAAACACACCTAAATAGATTATCAAGGGACATTATGTTTGCTCGGTACATTTCAATGGACGACTATTTTGAAAAAATGGAATTTGCCACACGGACCATAATGTGCTGAAGGATACGGCTAAGTTATCCCATCGATAGCACAGACAGGACAAGTGGATCACCTGCGGCTGAGGTAAGTGTTCCGTTATGTTTTTAGATGACCTACTGTAACAGTGCCATTAGCCAGATCTAATGTAACGTTAGTGACACTATTATATGATTAGGGTATGAATATGTTTTTATCTTGATGCGGTGCGGACGCGCTTGGAAAAAAAACGAGCGCGTTCACCGCGTTGAACTTGCACCCTGCGCGCGGCGCGCCTAGTAGCCTAAATTTGAAATAACCATGGAAATAACGAACTTGAGCGTGCAAAAGGGTACGATAGGCTGTGAGTTCATTGTGCAAAAACAATTTGTGCTATTACTTTTCCCTTATTCTATCCTATAGTAATGCAATTTTACTGTATATTATATACTGTTGAATACATTTGGTTCAGCTAATAAATTGCATTTAAAATATATTGATTCCTGTAATAATAATTATTTATTCATGTGATATTTATAAATCTGGGTGCGTTTTTGGTTGGAAATCAATGAAACATGGTACTGTATTACCTGGTCTCCCCTGTTTATTGTCACAGCTCATACAATAAAGCAAACACCCGTGATAAACTATGCTTTTCTATCTAACGTTAGTAATTGCTGACTCTTTATTCCAACATTGAGCGAAGCGAACTCTCTGCTCCTCGTCACGGTGCGTCTCAGGTGATTGTTATCACTCTCCCCAAGTAGCAGTGCTTCGCCTTCAGAAAATATAGTATTTATACCAGTGGCGGCTGCTGGTCTTTCAAAGAGGGGAAGCTCTTTTTTCTTCTTCTTTTTTTTTAAACTCGACTGTCAGGTGTGGGGATGGTGAAAAGAGCGAGGACTCGATGCAAAGTTGATGGGCTTTATTTTATTGATAAAAACAAACAAAAAACAAACAAGGGGAATAAATTGGGAGCAAAAAAGGCAGGTAACGAGGGAGGACAGGTGGGGCAAAATAACTAATAATCAGGAAACAAGATGGGAGTCACAATGACAGGAAAGCACATATGGCACAACAAACACATGACAAGCACAAGCCATGTGCTCATACCAAACATGACAAAAACACATGACCAATAAAACAAATTAAAAAGCAATTGTGCTCACACAAAATGAGACCTGAAGAATGATGAGAACACTCATAAGACACGTGTTCACACATAACATGAAAACATGAAAGCACACAGCTAGTGTAAAACACAAGCTGTGTGCTACACAGCACAAGACAAAACATGACATGAAAGTACGCGGCCGATGTAAACATAAACCATGTGCTACACAATACACAACACACTGAACAGAGCGAACACGACAAGACAGAACGCTAACGTTACGCATGAGTACGACCATAAGGTCATCCTGTGCACTCACAACCGAAAACAAACACGCGGAGAATGCATGTCCGAATCCCAACACAAAAGTGAAACCAAACAGATGTGCCGTGATTCAAACACCACGCCCGCACATGTAACAAGACACCTGACATCGACGGAAGAAATGTGGGAATTAGGTTGAACTGTGAAATATCTGATGAAAATTGCAAATACTAAGAAATATGTTACAGTAGTTCGTCTTTCGAGTAAAATACACACAAAATTCGCGACGAGACTGAGCACGAAGTCTTTAAACTAGCTTCCGCGTCAGCGATTTTTTTATTGGGTGAAATCACTGTCAATCAAAAGGAGATGCAATCCTCCAATCATCACGCGGACGCCCGGACGCCAGGCCAGCCCACTTCCCTATTAACCCCAGAGACGCCCGGCATCCGTGGGCGGGACATAATCGCAGCATTTATCCAATGACCGTCTAGTTTAACAGCACTGAAAAAAACTGTTCAAAGCAGCCCCATTGAAGTCAATGGACGCCGAGCTTCAACGGGGAAATGCCATAGGAAAACGCATGCACTGTGACGCGCTACAGGAGGCGCTGCATGAGAAGGAGATCAAGTCCGACCTGCTATTTGTTGCTTATTCTGAACGAACTCGTCTTCGAGATTACCGTGTTCTAACGCATTTTTACTCATTAAAATGTTAACATAATAGTACACATTTGATCATTATTTGTTTGACATTATAGGGGAAGCTGAGCTTCCCTTGCAGTCTTAAAGAAATCTCCACTGATTTATACGGTTAAAAGATGTCTGTGTCTCATATGGCCTTCTTATTTGTACAGTCTGTGACTATACAAACCACAACATGTAAATAGGAAAACGTTTGCGTTATTTTGTCACTCATTTGGATTAGTATGAAAGCTGCAACCATTCACATCCAGTCTTTGTGCTAAGCTAGGCTAGCGGTGGGTGCGTCAAACAGACTTATAGCACGCACGGAGATGAAAAAGGTATGTATGGACTTATCTAACTCTGGGGGGTAAGGTGAATAGGCTAAAGTCCCAAAAAGTCAGAGTGTTCCTTTAACGTTATATATTTATATTGTCCACAGCGCGGTAAATGGCGCTAAACATATTAGCGGGAATTACACTGACATCACTCGCCTCAAAACACATTCATCACGATATGAACAAAATAACAGCAATCAGATATACAGCTGCAACATTAAAGTGTTAATATATCACGATAACAGCTAAATATAAGGATAAATGAACTTACATTCATGCACGCAGTTACCACTCGTCGAAGATGAAGATGCAGCAGAGACGAAACTGAAAGTAAACTAAAATCAGAATGCATGTGAATGCGCTCTACGTGCACTACAGCTTAATATACATCTAAGGTCTACTACCTATTACCATATAAGTATAAGGAATTTAGTACAGCTGCCCCCAGATTAGCATAGCTAAAATGTAGAAGACGTAAATTCCTTAGTTCTTAACATTGGTTTCATCATCATCCGGGAGTGCTGGGAGTTGAACTAACTTAGCCACTGGTCGAAGATATAGGCGATCCTTTTATTCTGACCTTTGCTGACCTAATATGGCCGTCTTCGCTGGGAACCAGACTCTCAACCTTACCAATGGGCCAGTGAGCACGAGGTAGTTGTGGGTCCACCACCATTACCACAGTACCCTGAGTCAGATCCTGGGTCTCACGCTGCCACTTAAGACGATTTGCAGGAGGTTAGGTAAGTAATGCCGTGTATAGTGTGCCCAAAAGTGATCAACTATAGTCTGGGCATGGCGCCATCAACGCTTGGAAAGAGGTTCTGGAGTGTAGACCACTTGGGGCAGTGAAGAGTCCCGCCGCCCCATGAGGAGGAAGTTAGGCGTGACTGGGTCTACATCTGCCATGTCAGAGGAGACATAACCCAATGGCTTACTATTCAGGATACCCTCTACCTCCACTAACACAGTGTGCAAGACATCTTCAGGCAGGGATTGACTTCCTACAATGACCCGCGGGGCCGACTTCACAGATTTGATCTCACGCTCCCATGTGCCACCAAAATGCTGTGCCGCAGGAGGATTCATCTTGAAAGTGATCTGATGGTCTGCCAGCCGTTCCTGCAGTTGAGGTTCCATACTCCTAAAGGCTTCTCTCAGTTCTGTTTAGGCACCTCTGAAATTAGTCCCTTGAATTTCCGAAGGAGTACCCCGCCATGCGATGAAACGTCTCAGGGAAAGTAAGAAAGCATCTGCATCCAGGCTAATGAGGAGCTCAAGGTGTACACAGGGGGTAGTCAGACATTTAAAGATCACACCCCATCTTTTTTCTGAGTGGCGACCTATTTTCACAGTGAAGGGCCCAAAACAGTCAACACCTGTCGAAAAGAATGGTGGTTGATGAAGTCGTAGACGAGACAAGGGTAGATCAGCCATTGTGGGTACTGTTGGCTTAGCCCTCCACCTCTGACATTGAACGCACCCCCTCTGGTGTTTCTTCACTGCTTGCCGGCCTCTCAGGACCCAGTAGTAACGACGGAGCTCAGCAAAAACTCTGTCTGGACCGGGATGAAATAAGCGTTCATCAAAGTCTTGGATCAGGAGCTTGGTGACAGAATGATGGGAGTCCAAAACTACTGGATGAGTCTCAGTTGGACTCAGGCCTTCCAATCTCCAGAGCCGTCCTCCAACCCGAATTAGACCTAATGCATGATCAAACTCCAGTGCCAGTGTGTTCAGACGACTAGAAGTGCTCACTGGTTTGCCTGCTTTCAAGGCTCTTGCAACAGAAGCTTAGCGAGCTGTGCACCCGCCAAGGCTGCACAAAGTTCCAACTGTGGCATTGTCAATTGTCGCTTTGGAGCTACCCTTGACCTGGCCATCACAAAGGAAGTGTGGACTTCACCCTGTTGCTCGATAAGCAGGTACGCTACTGCTCCATATGCCACCTCGGCTGCATCACAGAAAATGTGAAAGCTGAATCGGGATGCCTCATCCTTGAAACGTGAAGGAATGTAACAACGGGGAAACACAACCTTAGCAAGGTTAGGTAACTCATGTTCCCACGCTCTCCAGCTTTCAAGGAGATCTGTAGGGATGTTTGGGTCATCCCAACTTCTCAGTTTAGCCCAGAGCTTTTGGACTAAAACTTTAGCCCTGGTGGTGAAGGGGTTGATGAACCCTAAAGGGTCATATTGTGATGCCAGGACTTTGTAGATGTGTCTCATTGTCGGGAGACACTCTGTCATCGGGCGGTGTCTGTAACCCAGACAATCATTGAGGCAGTGCCACATCAGACCAAGAGCTGGCTCCTGAGGGTTAGAATGATCCTTCTGCAGCCATAGTTCTATACTCTGCGATTTGGCATCTGCTGGTAAGTGGTCGACCACTGAGGGGACATTGCTGGCCCACTGCCATATTTCGAACCCTCCAGAGGCAAGAAAGGATCTCATCTTGTCGACTAACTGCTTGGCTTGTTCCACAGTGGGAAGACTCTGTAGACAATTGTCCACATAGAAGCTCAGTTCTATGGACTGTCTCACTGCTTCGTCACCTGCCTGGTGGTCTCTGACATGCTTCTGCAGTGCGAAGGTCGCACAGCATGGGCTGCAGGTTGTTCCGAAAGGCAAGACTTCCCACTGGTAAATATCAGGCGAATCCCCCTTCAGCATGTTTCGCCAGATGAATCTCAGAAGAGGTTTGTCTTCCGGCAGGAGCCTTACTTGGTGAAACATAGTGCATATGTCTCCGGTGATAGCAACTGGAGGCTGTCGGAACCGAATAAGGACTCCCAATAATGAAGCACCAAGGCATGGGCCTGGAAGGAGCTGCTGGTTGAGGGAGAGGCCTTGATGAATGAAGGAGCAGTTGAAAACTAGTCTATCCTTGCCATTGTGGTGGACAAGATGATCTGGGATGAACCACGATTCATTATCCATATGTAGAACTGACGAGACCTTGACAACATATCCTGCATCCAAGAGCTTCTGAATCTCTGCTTCATAAACCTTAGCCTTCCCTGGATCCCTGCTCAAGCGTTTCTCCATATCCCTAAGATTGGGTAGAACAGACTCCTTGGTAGCCTTCAGTGGTGGTGCATTTGGTATGCGTACGAGGGGGGTAGCATAACGCCAGATTCCATCCACTTCCACACGCTGTGTTCTGCTCTCCAAAAGTTCCATGGCTACTTGGTCCTGTCGTGATCGGATTACCAGCTTCTCGTTGCAGTAAGGAAGAACGTCCAACTGCCACAGCCGTTCGACCTCTTGGAGTATCGAATCGCAAACAGGTGTAAGGGAGGTGAGCAAACACTCTTGAGATGGTATTTGGTGCGGGAGAAGCCCGTCTGGTCCCTGAAGAACCCAACCAAGCTGCGTATGTACAGCTGCTGGTCCGCCATCCAGGCCTAATCTGGGAGGCTCTTTAGCAGTGATTAGACCTGGGTAATCAGATCCAATTAAGAGAAGGGGTTGAATTTTGCTGAATGATGGAAGAGGAATACCCCTTAGGTGGCAGTAGCTCCTCTGAAGTCTCTTGCTAGGATATGTCTGCTAAGTCAAAGTCAGGAGAGGTGCAGAGAATACACCAGCAAGCTTGTACCTCTCTTTTGGCCTGGACTGCGGTGAGAGATGAAAGTGGACTGACTGTCCCTCCAACTGGGTAATATCATGACGAATGGTACGAAAGCGCCATAACTTCCTTCTTTCCTTGTAGTCCTAGCTGCTGGACCGCTGCAGGGAGAATAATGCTGCGCTGTGCACTATCATCAAGGATTGCGTAGGTTTGTATAGACTTCTCACCTTTCCACAGCAACACAGGAGTGACCTTTAGGAAGACTCGACCTGTATGGCTAGGTGGTGTCACATAGATGCGGTCACTTGAGGTTGTAACTAGCATGATGCTCGGCCCTTGTTGTGCTATGCGGTGAAGAACTCTAAGATGCACGTCCCCACATTCCCCACATGGTTTTCTCAATGTGCACTCATTACAATTGTGGTTGGTGCGTCCGCATTTCCAGCATCTCTTAACTTCTTTTATCCACTTGATAAGTCGCTCAGGTGGGCATTCCGCGATCTCATTGCACTGAGAGAGGTAGTGCTCTTCACTGTGACAGAATAAACACAGGCGCTTTGTTCTCTGGACTAATTGCTGGTTTGGAAGAGCCTCTGTTCGAACATGCTTTACTTCTTTAACCTCCACACTTATTTGTAATGTTCTGTGAGCTCAGTGTGGGGGTTCAGCAGATTGTCGATGGCTATTTTCAGATCTGTGAACTCTCTTTTACTGTCATTCACAAGCTTTGGTAGCAATGGGACAGGGACTGGTTGGAGCGGAGGTGCAGCAGGTACTGGCTGATATACTGGACGAGAGTGTGTGGCCCGATAAGGCACAGTAGATTCCACTGGAGGAGGATGCCAATTCTGTACTGATGACTGAATGGAGGGCTGCGGTGTATAATGTCCTGCAACCATGAGTGATGGCTGATACGGGTGTGGCACGTGTGTCGGTTGGCTATGTGCAGGAATCTGTAATTGGTAAACTGGTGGTACCAGAGTGTTGTGCGCTGTTGGGACTGTAGGCTGCTTCAAGGACGTAATGGTTTGCGGCAAGGATGATATAACATTATAGGAAGCAAGGGAGGACATTGCACTGCATGCCACTGCTGTCTGCCTCACATACATTGCTGCTGGCAGCTGACCAAATGGTTGTGGTGTGGGTGTACTGTACACCATTTGAGCTGTGGTTGGAGACATTTGCCATCGTACAGATTGATGGGAGGTGTCTCGAAGACATGGAATGAGCGTCTCTGTATTCAGTAATGGGATGGCTGGAACTGCAGTAGCCTTTGGCCTGACAATGAGTGATGAGTAAGCTTGCGCTTGTTCCATTTGCTCGAAGAATGGAGAAAGAGTGCCATCACTTAACTACTCACACTCTAACTGTCTGTTATCTTGGTGCTGTAGTACTGGAGATGTGTAATAAGAGGTAGGAGATCTACCAATATCTACCTGCTCCATCATGCTGCTGAGCTCCATTTCTATACGGCCCCCACTGACTATGGCAGGACCTTGTCCATACTGCAGAGATGATAACTGGCTTGTCGGCTGAACCCCAGTCGAGA